GGCAACCTGATAGTTTCAAAGTTCTTGGACAGATTCTTCATGATCAAGGTTGCCATGGCTTGATTTACACCATGTCTAGTGGCCGTGTCTCTTCTTTTCTGGGTTTGGGTGATGATCTTCTTGGATTGCCACGGTCTAGTAGCTCTTGGTCAAGCTGTGGCAAGTGGTCGTGTCAAACGCCGAAGAAGTGTACAAAGTTGCCACGGCCAAGTCCTAGGCCGTGGCATGGAAACCGTGACAAGTGCCGAATGTTTGTAAAATCCTTCCCGGCCAAATGTTACTTTGCCACGGTCAAGTGTAGACCGTGGCATGAAGATCGTATCAAACGCCGAAGGACTGCAATTAAGTGCCACAGTCAGGTGTGGACCGTGGCATTCCATCGTGGCATCTTTCCCTTAGCTTGCATCGTTCACGGCTCCTCGGACCACTTCGCGTTCAGGAAAGCATAACTTCTAAGATATTTGTCCGAATTGTGTGCTTCCGGTTTTAGAGGATAGAGGACTCATATATCTTCAACTTTAGTGAAGGAAGCTTCGGTTCTTGGGAAGTGGAAGGTTTCCTGGAAGGCTCATCTTCGCAGTGCATTTACACGATCAGAGAAGGGCGTCTAGACATGTGTCCATTCTGGAGACGTTATCTTCTTGCTCATAGCTCCGAATTGAATGATCTCGGACGTTCTTCAAATAGGACTCAATTATCTCCGATTCTGATGATGGACCCATAAACTGAATCGGTCTGAAAGTGCACCGTCCTTCGCATTCTTCGGAGCTCATCGGCTTAGTCCAAAACGGCACCGAGACAGGAGTTTCTTCCGACGAGCTTAACTTTCTGCTCACGCGTCTGAATTCCATGATTCACCTTTCTCTGGAACCATGATCCAATCTTCTCCAATTTTGATGAAGCCCCCGACAGCTGAATCGGACTGGAAGGTTCCCCTGACAGGCGATCATTCAGGAGTGTCGGATTGCTCCGGAATGGATGCGAGAGAGGTCAGTCTTCCGGTGACCGTATCTTTCAGCTCAGTGCTCCAAATGCCTTTATTCAACCTGTCCTGGGTTCTTGACTCAATTATCTCCAACTTTTATGAAGACGCTGTAAGCTGAATCGGCCGGCAAGAGCTTCCGGTGACGCGATTTCAGAAATATATCTGCACCCGGGATTTTTGGCCGAGAGACTTGACCGCGGTACGTGTTTTTGGCCGAGAAAGCTACCCGCGGGAGGGATTTTGGCCGAGAATCTTCGGCCATCAGTACATCATTTTGCCGAGAAACCCAAAATTGCTCCTTTTCACCATCTTTGATAAGTTCAACTCCATTTCTTCATCTGAATCACATCCTCCACTCCAAATAAACTCCAAAAGCACCTGTTTAACACTCTAAAACATGCAAAACTCTCTTGGACCTAATGCAATCTCCTAAATCCTAAAAAAATGCCTAAAGACCTAAAATGCATGCAAATGAGACATGATTTGGACTAGAATATGTACATTAAATGATGCAATTTATGAATATATCAACTGGCCGAGAAGCTAAGGAAGAACATGAGCCATGGTTCAGAATGATGGGTTAAGTTCGTTAATGCGGGACTTAGCCAGGAAAAAGAAAGAAAGATAGCTCAAAAGGAGGATTGAGCTAAGATGACCTGGAAAGGTGAGCTAAGCTAGCTGGATCAGCTGCCGGGAGGCTCGGTTAAGTTAGGCTAAGTGATGGGCAGTTGGTCTATCTGAGTGGCAAGTGAGCTAGCTGGACTAGGATGGTTATGGGCGGTTATGGCCGAAGGGTTGCAAAGCTTATGCACCAAATCATCGCACCCAGTCGGCCAACAACTCGCACCTGTTCGCCCAAAGCGGTTACAACAAGGGAAAATCTATAAATAGACCCCTTTGTCCACATTTTTAGACACGCACATTTGGAGGGGAGAAACTCTGCCCAATTTACTAAAGATACCGAGAGGGAAAAAGCAAAGTAACTGGGAGAACTGAGGGATTAGCCGGAGCGATGGTGTGCGGGTCGTGAGGGCAAGGAAGGAGAGTGGCCGCTTGATCAAGGCGATCAAGCCGCAGAAATAGTCGACGCGTGCGGAGTCCAGAACCGAATGCGAGGCTAAGGTATGTAATTCTCGGTCTAGTACGCACAGATCTGAACGATCGGTTCATCGGCATAGTCCGGTACCGCGGGTTATTCCTTGGTTGTTTTAGGAACTGTGTGTGACGGCCTGAGGAAGGAACGATCACCGGCCCTGGAATATAGATTTGGTCGGTGGTGATAGGTTGCGATAGGGAACGTTTTCACTGGACCATGCGCGCCGCGGATAAACCGCACGGCTTGGGATCGGACAGGATCTACGAAGTCCCGGTTAATCTGGGCGGATGGCTTGTTCCAAGGGATGACTAATCCGTGAGTGGTATTAGGGTCGTTTGGGGGTACATGGCATAATCATGCGCATATGCATATGTTTTGTGGCTTGGAAAGTAGGGTTACTTATATTATTTACTTTACAGGAAAAGATGGTGATCAAGGAAGGGATTTGGCTTAGGCGCGCAGACCAGTTAGCCCGGAATGATGAGTGGTGTATTAGAACAGATAGATAGGATCATGTACTCTTATAATAGCTTATATGCAGACTCATAATTTGTAATGAATCCATATAGTTATCAATAAAATATCCGTTTCTGTTTTCTAGTAATGCATATCAACTCTAACCTAGTGAATCTCAGAATACACATATCGAATATAGATTAAACAAAGGACTTGACCCTAAAAGTGGACTGATGGGGTCGAAGCCATATAGTGGTCAGACCGGAAACAACCTCCACGGACTTAGAGTCCGGGATGGGGTGTTTCAAGTTGGTATCAGAGCATGCTTGCTCCTACATCTAATTTCCGATGATTTTGCATTTAATAGCAAATCTCTCGTTATCGATGTATATTCGTCGTAATTCGTCGTAAATTGTACGTCGAAGTTACGACGATGTTTTTATACGACGGTTTTTTAATTTGACGCAACATCGTCGTAAAATCGTTGTAAGTTTGCGACGACTTTAAAACCGTCGTAATGGACCGTTGGAAAACGATTGTTTTCTTGTAGTGTCAAATGACTAACCCGAATGGTTCAGATCAAAAGGAGAACCTAGCTCTTGAAGTTCCACGACTACTATCTCCACCACTGCTACCACATAGTGCTGCACCCAAAGTTCAATATTTCGGAGCCTTAGGTGTCAAACTCAGCATACAAAGCAAGAGATTTTCTCTCACAAAATCCCAACTCCAACTATATAATTGTGAGACCCCGCTCCCATCTTCCTTTCCGGGAACCAGACGGACCGGCTATCACTTACAGTGAGACCCTGATCCCGCCTTTCATCTGGATTGGCTATCAACTCTGAATGCCCCAACTGCCCTTTCTAGTGAGTCCAACGCCCTCTCTAGGTCCGTGAGCCCAACGTCATCTCTCTATTCTCATTGGCCCAACGTTCTCTTTCTAAGACTTTTCTACTGCCCCATCAATCACCACGTGATCTTTCCCCGTGCTTTGTCCTCACTCACAAGGTACCGCGGACTACTTCCCAGTAAGTCCCCATCCTCAAATTGCTCCCAGCTTAAGCACGTTTAACTGTAGAGTTCTCTCAAGACCAGTGCCCGAAAAGATAAGTGCACTTTGATGACATAGGTAGATAAATCAATTCTTATAAGCTTTTTTCACATATACCAGGAATCAGGATGTTATAATTCTCTCTGACTTCCAAGGAATTCGTCCACGAATTCACTCTAACTCAACTACGTCCCAAGACGCCACCCTGGTCAGAGCCGGTTGGCTAACCTTGGCTATGATACCAATTACGAGACCTTGCTCCCGTCTTCCCTTCTGGGAACCTTGGCTATGATACCAATTATGATACCAATTGCTGATTTTAGCTAAAAACATAGTCGGATCTTTGCTTGAATGGTTTGCAACATTTTGATTAATCAAAATTTGAAAGTTCATAATTTTTTTTGCAATTTTCTCAAAATAAAAATCATAAATAGAAGCACTATACTTCTTCAAATATATATATATATATATATATATATATATATATACTATTAAAAAGGAAGCATTTTTTTATCCAAACAGTATTGTCTTCATTTAAAATTATTCAATTGTGGATAATTGCTATTTCTGTTATCAAACAAAATAATTTAGTGTAATATTAATAAACTAATATATTTCTAATTTATATTTCAATATAAATCTGAAAAATTAAATATTAATTTAAATTTGTTATAGATTTCTCTAAATATAGGTTATATTATTTATCAAAAAACATAAAATAAGTTATTATTACGTCTTTCAATAATAATAAACCGGATATTAATTTAGATTTATTTTAAATATTCAAATTAAAATAATATTTTAAATGACAAAGATGAAAATGATATATTACTTTATATTTTATCAAATAAGTCTAAAATTTTAAGTATTTAAATTTAATAAATACTTAAAATATACAAATAATATGTTTAGAACTTATAATTATGTTTTGATAATCGCAGTTCTTTTTCTATTAATATAAATACGTATGTTATAATGATGTTTTTATTATCGTGGTATTTTTCAGATTAATATGAACGGATAGATTAGAATAATATTTTTTAATCGCACTTATTTATTATACTAAAAAAATAATATATAAACAGAAAAAAAATAATTTTTTACTTATTAAAAAATTATATTTAAAAAACAAAATTATTAATTATATTAAGTAATTGAAAAATTAATAATAGTTCATATGTGTTTACACGGAGTAGAACCTCGACGACATGGCAAAGAACACTAGCCGCAGCACCCAGCGTGGAGACAAACCTCGACCACATAGCAAAGAAGAGAGGAAACGCACAAAACTCACGCCGACCCCAAGTCAATACGCGGGTCAACTCCGCGTCCCTCCCTCTCATATTTTATTTAATTATTTTTTTAAAAACAGTTTATTTCTAAATTCAGATTACCACTCTCCTCTTATATCGCCCCAAATCTCCTTCTCTTGTGGTTTTCCAATTTAAGTCTAGATAAAAAGAAAAACAAAATCTTAAGAAACAGAGAAAATCCCTTTTGTGTCTGTGGATTCTTTTCGCTCACTCCAAGCATTTTCTCGAGATCCAGGTACCTTGTTTTCTTCCTCATTCCCTGAACGTTTTACTTGAATCCTATGGTCTTTCAATTTCCGTTTTCTGGATTACAAGTTCTCACTTGAATCGCATTTTCACGGTTTTGCTTCATCACGATTCTGTGCAATTTGAAAACTGCTTAGCATAATGAGATAGATCTAACAAATGGCGATGCTGATTACTTTCTTCACTCTCTGGAAATATAATGTCGATTTCTTTGTTTATATACTTCGATTTTATGGTCTCATGCTGCTTGACGATTCCTAATTACGTCAATTCCCGTTTTCTGGGTTCACTCGTTTCGCATTTTGATGGTTTTTCTTCATCACGATTCTGTGAATTTTCGAAAAATGCTTGGCATAATGGGATATAGATCTAACAACAATATGCCTATGCAGGTTACAAAAAAAAAAAAAAACAATATGCTTATGCTGTTTTTCTTTCTTCAATTCCTTTAAATTTAATGATAATTTCTTTGTTTTATTTGTTTTTCTTCGATTTTATGGTTTCATACTTCAATTACCGTTTTCTGGCTTAGTAGATTTCATTTGATTGGCATTTTTTTTTATGGTTTTGCATCATCACGATTCTGTGAATTTGAAAATTGTAGACCTTTACTTTGTTCTGAAATTACTCGCAGATCCAAAGCCAAAATGACCATGAGCAACGGCGATTCCGAATCAGCAACCTGCAATGAGCCATACGAGAAGAAACCTTTCAAGATCTTCGTTGGTTACGATCCACGAGAGGATCTTGCTTACCAAGTCTGTTGTCATTCGATCACGAAGCGATCTTCAATCCCTGTAGAGATCACACCGATTGTTCAATCAGATCTCAGAAAGAAAGGTCTGTATTGGAGAGAAAGAGGTCAGTTAGAAAGCACTGAGTTCTCTTTCTCTCGTTTCTTGACTCCGCACTTGTCTAATTACCAAGGCTGGGCTATGTTCGTCGACTGCGATTTCCTCTACCTCGCGGACATTAAGGAACTCGTTGATTTGATCGATGACAAATACGCGATCATGTGTGTTCAACATGATTACACTCCTAAAGAAACCACTAAGATGGATGGTGCTGTTCAAACCGTGTACCCGAGGAAAAACTGGTCCTCTATGGTGCTTTACAATTGCGGACACCCCAAGAACAAGACGTTGAACCCTGAGGCTGTAAACACTCAGACCGGTGCTTTCCTCCATAGGTTTCAGTGGCTGGAGGACGAAGAGATTGGTTCTGTTCCTTTTGTGTGGAACTTCCTTGAAGGTCACAACAGGGTTATTGAGAACGATCCAACCACGCAGCCTAAGGCCGTGCATTATACTCGGGGAGGGCCTTGGTTTGATGCTTGGAAGAATTGTGAGTTTGCTGATCTCTGGCTCAATGAGATGGAAGAGTACAACAGAGAGAACAAGAAAGAAGTTGATGCGGGGAATTAGAAAGAAGGAAGAAGATTAAAAAAAGGTATGTTACTTACCAAAACAAATATTCCGTAAACATGGATTACATATAGTTTTTGGCTTTGTAGAGCCAGGGAACATTAGTTCTTGTGGAGAGCTTTGGGTTTTCGTTTTATTCTTCACATTAAATTCGTTTTAATCGTTCGCAACACTAATACCAATATCGAGGTCATATGGTATAATAATATATTTACTTGTTTGTTGTGGCTTGTATGTTCCTTTAATGATATATTTTATTTGTAATTGCTATCAGATGAAGTAACGTATTTTGATAATGTGACTTATATAGCAGTTCTTTTTATCTGATTAATAATGATCATAAGGTCAACATACATAAAGCATACAGATTGATCAATGATGATCATTAGCTAGCAACCTCTCAGATGATCTTATATCTAAGAATATCATATTGTGATTCGTACATGTATGTAGATGCACATACCAACGAACAACCAAACGAGTCGGCTACTTATTAAAATTGAGTTCTTATCAAGTTCTTACATTACTTGGTCTAATCCCATAACATACATCTATTTTAACGAAAACGCTGAAACTCAACTTCTCTCTAGCGCATTGAACTGACCGATCAACTTATAATCCACATACTGCAAGACCATCCAAATCAAACCACCATCTAGTTTTCCGTAGACAACTGATAACATTGTATTTTGATTCTTATGCAATTTCAAATATTTTACTTTGTCTTAAGTGTTTTCATTATGGTTTTTCTATATTTATAGTTTCAAACTCTTTTCAGGTTATTTAGAAAAAAACGTTGCAAAATTTAAAAAACCACATTTTTATCTTAGTGTCAAATCGTCATATGTTCAGTCTATTGTTAATTGTGGATCTCAACTTTACAGGGGTCAATTCGGTAATTAAATTTTGGAGAAAGTCTTTTATTTAATCAATCGAGTTCAGGTTACAAGTATTTGAGTTCAGAGGTCTCTCAACAAACTGAATACAATACTAATGAGCTCTCAATTCCTCGGAAAAGAGTCTAACCCCTTCTACAATAATCAAGCTCCCTATTTATAGTGCATTAATGAGGAGAAAACTTAGGGTTCTCTCCCTCTAATCTCCACCGCCTCTTGTTATTGGGTCTTATTGCAAATGGGCCACGTTATCAGGACGGGACCACTTTGGTCGAGGCCATTGTAAACCGGGCCAAACCGAGTTTCAGAGCATAGCACTAACAATATGTCCCCCCCCAGTCTGACAAATGAGCTCGGCTGACTTTTGACGGATTTGAGGAGTTGGTGCGGTTGAGATTGAGATTGGTCGAAGTTGAACTCTTCATCTCTGAGTGTCTCTTCGTCTTCCGTGTTCGGGGAGGCTATTTTTGGGTTTTCACATACCGGAAGTCGAAGGGTCGTATTGGTTTTGGCGAGAAGTTGAAATTTCTAGAACCGACACGAAGCACAAAAACCGATAAGTCACATTTATTTCATTTTTCTCTAAATAAGAAGCAGCTCTTGTCATTTTCTCATTCCTGCTCCCACTGCTAAAGTATTTGCTCTCGTTTCTCACTCTAAATTTCTTCTTTCTCTCTCTAAGTTCTTTGATTGCCGTCCACCGTGCTCTTCCGTCGACGGTTAATCTTTTCTCGGCGCTCCGACCATGGCTTCTGAATCCTCTTCTAACTCCGGGTACGTCGTTCTCCTTGAAGATCGTCAGCCGGCCTCCTTGGCCGAATTATCGAGACCGGCTACCGCTGAGAATTCCTCGAATGCTTTTTTAATTTGGAAGAATTCTCGGGTAGTTGAGGTCAGCTCGAGTAATCGAAGAGGTCCAGTCCAGGCCCCAAAACTGATGGATCAAGATCTTCGTGAGCCTGGGGGTCAGTATCCCACCGACCTAGAACTTGGTCAAGATGCTGATGTCAAAACAGATGAGGACGCATTTTTGGATGGAGTCGAAGAATGCATAACCTCGAATCCTGACAATGACGATACATGCCGGTTACTGATTGTCCAACCGTATGCGCCAATGTGGGTCCTACCAAGTCGGACTATGACACAGTCCAGGAGATGACGCTTATCTGTGGAGCCCCACCTCGCATCGTAGTCCGGGTTATCGAGCCGGACGTATGTCCGTGGGATGCCCCGGAGGACTATATATGTGTTTATGAGGCCTATTTTTGCGAAGCCGGTCTAGCTTTCCCCTTGCCTTGCCTACTCTTTTCCTACTGCAATCGTCGTGGCTGCGCGGTATCGCTATTGAAGCCAGCTACGATTGTAAATTTTGTCGGGATCCTCGAGCTCGGGCGCGACATCTAGACTCACATTAACGTCGCCCAATTCGAGGAGCTTTTCATCATAAAAGTTGTCCATACCAAGTACTGGTTCTTATCGGCCTGTTCCAGCCCTCTGTTCGACTTGGTGACGGGAAATAAGGCGAGCAAATTCTTGGACTGGGAGAATAGCTATTTCTTTCTGCGTGTCGACGCAAATTTTGCTGAGAATCCGGAGAGCACGTTCTGGACTGGCTGGAGCATGGATTTTTGTAGATGTCCTCCGGTCAATCTTTTGTTATTTTTTCTAGTGATAACTAACTGTCCTCATATTTCTGCAGATCGCCACGTTCCAGGTTTTCTATAGCGCTCCCTTAGAGACGACCTTGCCAAGAAACTCAGTGAGGCCGGACAGCGCCGTTGGCCTCGTGCTTATCAAGAGAAGATAGATCGAAAGATAAAGAGGGCTTAAGGCAAGGGTAAATATTTTTCGAACAGTTTCTGTTTTAGCAGCTATTTCGAGGTCTTTATTAACTTTCTGGTTTTCCTTTTTCAGCGTCTAAAGCCCATGCCAGACCTAGCAAACCGAAGAAAGCTCTGAAGAAAACTTCGAAGAAAACTCAGCAGAAGAATTGAGGCTCGACAGGTTGGACATCCCGGTGATGAATTTGGCGGGCGGTGATGAAGATGAGGGTAATTCTCCCATTGACATCATCGGATTGGAGGGAGATGAGGTTCAGGATCCCAATCTTCCTCTTGACGCGACGCCCGTCCAACAGCCTGATCCGGCTTTGCCTGTTGAAGGTGTTAATCCGGAAACGACGGGGACCGATCCTTCTTTGACGATGCTTCTGCCTGTGCAGAGCTGTTCAGGCAGATTGTTCCGGCTTTTTCTCCGATGTCTGAGACAAAGAACCTCTTCCGCCCCAAGTCTTATGGTCGGGTCGCTAAGTCCGCCTCCACTGTAAGTTTTCCTGTTTTTAAATATTCGTATTATTTTCCTTATGCCAAATTGACTTTTGGTACTTTCTAGCTCGTCTGCGACACGAACGAACTGGTTCGCGAGTATGACTTAGAGATCGAGAGGTTGAGGAAGATCAATGCGGAGGTGGCAGCTGAGAGAGAGTCATTGGAGACCTCGTACCGGATGGAGAAGGAAAGATACGAGCCTTCCGTGCTGGTTTTCTCAGAGAAAGGGAAAGAGAACACTGCCTTTCAAGGAGCAGGTCGGAGTGCTAGGGAAGCGGATTGCTGAGTTGGACTCCAACTTGGACGCAGTATCCAAGTCATTCGAGGCAGAGTAGCTTCAGAAGCAGAAGTACCGGGATGCGGAATCTAAAGGAAAGGCGGCTATGCTGGCACTGAGGAGCAAGTGCGAAGCAAAGCTGGCGAAGGTGAAGGATTTTATGGACAAATCCGAGATGAGAAAGACGCTGTTTCTCAAGCCTAACCAGGCTACCGCCCTGGTCAGCTTATGCGGCTTCTTAAAGCGAGAGCATAACTACATCGTCCCTCCTCATATCTTGGAGATGTACCAGAGGAGGATAAGAAATTACACTAGGGACGTTGACGCGATCCCTCTTATGGAGCTCGGGGATGATGACCTCACTTTGTCGTCTGTCACAGAGATCCTGCTGCGGGTTGAGCTTCCGCCGGGTGTGCAGGTCCCGGAAGGGTTAAATCAGTTTGGATCTAATTCGAACTCTATTTCCGGAGAGCTTGCGGCGAGTCTGAAGAGTCCGTCCTCTATCGCTCGTCAATAAGGATTTTGGTTGTTTTTTCTTTTGTTGTTTTGTTGGTACAATCCTATGTAATTGTCCGGCCCATACTTTTTTCGAGTCTTTAGACTTAGTATTTTGCCACCTGTTTTGGTGTTTATGTCGTTGTCTATTTCGAAGATCTTGGATTTTTCTTAAATGAAATGGGACTTCTTAACAAACGTATCAGAGCCATTTGATCTCGTTTACTTTTGTTTATTTGGTGTCTATTGCGGGTTCGGTTCACATATTTTGAGTGTTGCGAAATCGCTTTATTTTTGCGAATTATTGAGAATTCGGCTTGATGGTTTGATGAGTCGATTCTCAAGACGTTTCCAAAGTTGAATCCATGTTTGTGTGGTTTCGTTCGGCTTATTTTATGCGGATAACCAAGGAAAGAATGAGTGTAGAGTGGATTCCGGCTTTTACTTAAGTTGAGGCACCATGTGTGTAACACCCTCGACTCGGTCTAGATCCGAGTGCAGTGACCTGCCGCACAACAATCAAACAAGAACATGCACGGCCGACTGTTCGAACCCAAACCGGATCGACGGTGTTACTGTTTCACACACAGACTGATGGCCCGAGGTTCTTAGCCGTGCACCAATCAAACAAGAACATGCACCTCCAAATGCTGTTCCTACCGAATGCGTCTCCCAGCTTTTTAACCTGAGACGTGTTCGATAGTTGGTTCGTCTCGGACAAAAATTAGTATCATTCGAAAGCCCGAGCTTTTATAAAACATATTTTTACTACATTGTTGTTATACAATGGGCGCCCCTAAGAAAACATTATACCGAAATCAACTTAAATCATACTTGGTTTGGCAAAAGGCACGAAATCTACACCAACGACCCTAAAATTCTCCGTCCCAATTGGCTTCTCCGCTATGGTCTCCTGCAAAACAAGTAGAGTCATGAGCAACTATTTGCTCAGTGATTTCGGTTCCCCTATCCGTTTAAGCAATAACCCAAAAATCCTAAACATCACGCAAAACACGCATCACGCAACAACAATAATAATCTCATATAAGATGCATGATAATATATACTTATTATACATGCATACACCCAACATACACTCAAACGCCAAATCTCTCAGGTGCTATTGACCGGATCCCGCACAAAGAAAAATTTCACATTTTGCATAAATCGGACCCCCACCACACAGGCCAAAGGTCGCGACTGTCATCTCTCATGCGTCACTCATCTACCCGGGATTTCACATCACTCTCATATCCGTCTCGCAAGCCTGGATATGTCATCACATAACATGGCTGAGGGAAGCGTCACGT